TTAAAATTGCAACCCCTGCTGCAATTTAGTGCCATTTTCTTAGAATATTCTTTTCCATCCTTTTACCTTAAGGTAGTACTTGTCCTTGAAGGTGAGATGGGTTTCTTGTAGACAGTAAAGAGATGGATTTTGTTTCTTAATCCATTCACTTAGTCTGTGTCTTTTGACTGGGGTGTTCAGTCCATTGGTATTTAAGGTTATTATTGAAAGGTGTGTATTTGTTGCCATCATTTTGATTGCTATTTGTGTTCTCTAATTTTGTGTTTCCTAGATTATTCCTTTATTTATTTTCTTTCATTGCCCTGGGGTATGGTTGTTTCTCTCCCCACTCTCTGTATTGCTTCAAGTATTCTTTGAATGGCTGGTTTTGTGGACATGCATTCTTTCAGGCTATTTGTGTCATGGAAGATTTTTCTTTCCCCCTCAACTATAATAGACATTTTTGCTGGGTAAAGTATTCTGGGCTGGCATCTGTTGTCATGTAGAAATACCTTGGTCCAGGAAATACCTTGGTCCAGGCTCTTCTGGCTTTCATAGTTTGCATTGATTAGTCAGCTGTAATTCTGATGGGCTTTCCTTTGTATGTGACTTGTTTTTCTTTTGCTGCTTTCAGTGTTCTCTCTTTGTTCTGTACATTTAGTGTTTTTACTATGATATGTTGTGTGGAGTTTCTTTTCTGATCCTGTCTATTTGGTGTTCTATGTGCTTCCTGTATTTGTATGGGGATGTCTTTCCTTAATTTCGGGAAATTCTCGTCTACAATCCTGTTTAAAATCTGGTTAACACCATTAACCTGAAATTCTTCTCCTTCCTCTATTCCTATGATCCGTAGATTTGATCTTTTCATGGTGTCTCACATGTCTCGCATATTCCATTCCTGTGTTTTTTTACAATTTTCTGTAATCTTTGCTTGAGTGATCCAATTCTTCAACTTTATCCTCTAGTGTTGAACTCTGTTTTCCATTTCATTCATTCTAGAAGTGAGGCTTTCCCCTGTTGTTTCAAGTTGGCTTATTGAGTTTTGCACTTCCTTCTTCATTTCTGCCTGAGTTTTCTTCAGTGTTTCTGTCTCTTTTGCGAATTCATTCAGAAGTTTATTCCTGCCTTCTTTTAGCTCTTTGATTTGTTTGTTCATGTGTTCTTTAAATTTGTTGAATTCCTTGATCATGTTTATGATTGTTCTTTTAGATTCTGTATCCTGGGTTATCTCTAGGGGGTTCTCTTTGTAGAACTCTTCTGCAGGATTGGTGGAGTTTGGTGGGAACATAGTGTTTTGGCTTTCCATTTTATTATTCTTTTGTTGTGATCTTGGCATATGAATTTCTTTTGTTGTTTATGATTCTGATTTGAGAATTAAGTTGAAGTAAGCTTCTGTTTGTATTTTTGGTTATGTAAAGCTGGTTGATACAGGGTTCAGGTTCTCTCAGGTTTAATTTGGAGGGAACTGATGGCTTCAGATCAGCTATACACTCAGGCTTCCTTCACCACGTGGAGGCAGCATCTGGGTGCGCTCAGGCAGTTCACTCTTCTCAGGTTGTCTTCTAGGATCTCAACCTTAGCCACCAAAGTCAGATCTGCCCTGGGGCTTTGGGAGGGGTCTCATGAAATCCCAGGTAGGGGGATGGGTATGGCACAATTAGGGGAAGCTCACCACCATGTGGACTCAGGATCAAGGGCTCTCAGGCAGTCCCCTGCATTCTCAGCCCCTCTGTCAGAGAGAGGCCAGAGGGAGGCAGAACTTGGCACTCTCTGGTGGTCTGCTGAGATAAGAGCCACTACACTGATGGAGGTCGGAACCCACCCTCTCAGGCTGTCTGCTAGGATCTCAGCCCTAGCCTACCAAAGCCAGATCTTACATTTAGCTTTCTTTCATAATTTTTTTCTTTGTACTTTTTTAGCTATTTTAATAGTAGTTTGCTATGTAACATATATATATATATATATGTCAGAATGTACTTCAAATTTATAGTTAATTACAGCATGTCTATAATCCCAGAGAGATAAGAGTCCATTGTGGTGGGCAGACATGGCAGGACACAGGGAGAGCAGCAGAAAGCTGAGAGCTCACATCTTCAAGCAGCATGGAAGCAGAGAGAAACTGGAAATGGGGCAAGGCTACTGTGCTGGAAAGCTTTAGTGTCAACTTGACATACCTGGGTAGAGGGAGCCTCAATTGGGGAATTGCCTCCATTGGACTGTCGTATGGCCATATCTGTGGGGCATTTTCTTGATTTTTGAGTGATGTGGGCAGTGCCACCCCTGGGCAGGTTATTCCATATTGTATAAGAAAGCAGGCTGAGCACAGGCTAGGGAACCAAGTCAGCAAGCAGTGTTCCTCCATGGCCTGTGCTTCAGCCCCTGCCTCCAGGTTCCTGTCCTAAGTTCCTACCTTGGGCTGTCTCAGTGATGAACTGTGACCTGGGAGATATAAAATAAAATAAACCCTTTTCTTCCCAAGTTGGTATTGGTTAGAGTGTTTTGTTACAGCAATTGAAAGCAAACTAGAACAGATATGAATTCTCAAGGCCTGCCTCCAGTGATGTGCTTCCTCCAGCAAGGCAACATTTCTTAAATTTTCACAAACAGCACCACCAACTGGGGCTAAGTGTTCAAATACTTGGAGCCTATGGGGGACATTTCTCAATCAAACCACCACATGGCTCTTCACCAGATGAATGCTACTGTGGTTACCCTAGGGCCTCATTCCTACTTGCTCTTGTTACCTTCCATCTCCTAGAAGCATATTGTATAGTCTTGGGGCCATTCAGGGTGAGCTGCCCCTAAGCCTGAACCCCAGGCTTCCTGCCATAGGTTGGGGTGGGCTGAGCCCAATACCTCAGCCCTCCCTTGGCCTCAGGCTCTTGTCTATGAACCTAGGAGTTCCTAGGGTTTCCTCTGTTTGAGGATTCAGAAGGTTATGGCCTTCCTTCCGGAGTCTGGTATTGGGCTACTGTAGCAGCATATAGCTGGGTCTGGACCCAATTTTTCCTTAGTCATGATGTTTAGTTAGCACCTCTCAGTGCCCAGTGTGGTCTGCACATGGGAGAGGGTAGGACTCTGAAACTCTTGCAGCTGCCTTGGAGTGCAGCATGCATTCGTTACCCTCACAGGTCTTTGCTAAATGAGGGAAACCCCTGAGCATTTACTACCACCTACAGTAAAAACTCTATGAACATGGTTTCTGGGCATACAGCTCAAGAGCCTTGTGGACATTTCCCTTGTTTAGAGATGGGGAAATGGAGGCTGAGCTGGTAATTTGAGAAACCTGGGAGGGGGCCAAGTCTATTCTAGTCCAAGCAGGAACTTCTTTCCTGTCCCTTCCAGCTCTGTACTGCTCCTAGGGCACAGAGAGCAGGACCGTGTACCACACCCCAGGATGTAGACAGCAGGTGTACACTTTTCAGAATGTACTTCCTGAGTGTGAACACACACACACACACACACACACACACACACACAAATACAAGCACACCAACATAGCGTACTTCCTGAGTGTGAACACACACACACACACACACACACACACACAAATACAAGCACACCAACATAGACAGCTGGGTTATACCTCCCTAAACATCACACACACACACACACACACACACACACACACACAAATACAAACACACTGACATAGACAGCAGGGCTACACGTCCCTAAACATCATACACACACACATACACACATATACACACACACACACACAAATACAAACACACTGACATAGACAGCAGGGCTACACCTCCCTAAACATCATACACACACACACACACACACACAAATACAAATACAAACACACCGGCATAGCAGGACTGTACATTTCCCCTAAACATCCCACATACATACACACATGTACGTGCACACCTACACATACATGCAAGTACATGGATAGACAACAGGGTTGTACACCTCCCCTAAACACACACACATCAGGATTGTACATCTCCCCTAAACATCACACATACGCACACACTTGCACGCACACATACATGCAAACACAAACACGTGGATATAGACAGCAAGTCTGTACACCTCTCCTAAACACCTCTTTCTCTTTCTCTCTCTCTCTCTCTCTCTCGCTCTCTCTCTCTCTCTCACACACACACACACACACACACACACACACAAATATATATAGTAGAGGTCTATATTTCTCAGTACATAGGCCTCCACTCGCTATTACACACACACACACACACACACACCCTACACACACACACACACACACACACACACACTCCAGGATATGGCAGAGTTGTACACAGCAGTATACATCTGGCAGGACTCTGTACACCCCCCCATCAAGCCACACAGAATGGAACTGTGCTTGATTATATGATGACAGGCAAAGCAGGGGCTGGGTGGAGGGAGTGCAGAAGCAGGGCGGCAGTGTCCATGGAATAGGATGACCATGGTATGGAGTGGGCCCTGGAGGACAAGAGGGCCTGTTTTATCCCCACCAAGAACACAAGGGTGGAGTGAAGGGGTGGTGTGGGGTGGGGGGATAGAATGGTGAAATTCTGGAGTGATGAGCAGTGTCAGGCCTGAGACTTCCCATGGACTCCCTCAGGCCTCCTTGTGGGCCTTCAACCTCAGGTCTCCCAGACCTAAGCAGGGCATCACAGGGCTGGGAGGTCCATAACCAGCTCAGAACCCTCTGCTGCAGCTCCATAGGCTATGGATGGTTCTGAGGTCTGCGAGCCCTTCTCAGGATTATTGTAGGTGCCCTGGGACACTGAGCTGGAGCTGGAGGCCCTGGCTCTTCTGAATGTGTTCAGGACCTCTGCCTACTCCTGAGGATTCTGGCCCAGGGCTTCACTGTGGCTCCTTCGCTGTGTTACTGCTGTGGTGGAGAGGCAGACTTGTCTTGCCTCAAGGTCAGGGATGAGGGAGGACTCCGGCCTATGAAGGAATATCAGCTAGAGGGGCTGAGAGGAGCTGTGCTTGCTACATCCCTGGGCATTGCCCCGAATCCCCTTTCTCATTATTGTTTCTCTCTCAAGGTGGGTGTGCCCGCGTGTGTGGCTGCAATGAGACAGGGATGCTGGAGAGGCTGCCCCGCTGCGGGAAGGCCTTCGCTGACATGATGCACAAGGTGGACGTCTGGAAGTGGTGCAACCTGTCCGAGTTCATTGTGTGAGTGCCTTGCTGGGCATGAGAGTGGCCACATTGCTGCTCACACTCTGCTTAGTTCTGTCCCTTGGCCCTTCCCATACCTACACTCAATCCTGCTCACATTCACCCGAAGACCTCCCATAGTCCCACCTAGCCCCGCCCACAGACTGCCCTTCACAGACTGCACAGGTCTACCTGGAGTCTGCCTGGCTTAGCCACATGGAACTGTAGGGACAGTCATTGCGGGAGGTGTTTCTGGGCAGCAGTTCACTGGAAAGGCCTTGGAAACTTGGGGTGGGGGTCACAGCAAGCGGTTCTCAATACACAGAGACACTGGGGACTTTTGAGGCAAAAGGTTTTCATGGGGTGTTAGATGACTCCCTGTCTCCAATATCCTGAGAGCCTGGGCACCTCCAGGGCCGTATCCAGGTTGAAGCCCAATGGGGCCTATGGGTCTGGACAAGAATTCTAGGCTTCTTTGTTTCTGCCTATTCATTGTAAAGGTTAACTGGGAAGCCACAGGTGTATGACCTGGGTTTTGAGAACCAGCCTGGGGTGAGTCTGGAGCCTGGCTGAGTGACTGCTCAGGAGGAGTGGACACAGGAGGACCTGGGACCCCGAAAGACAGGCCCTCTTGTTTTTCACCCTTATTCTGATTTCTGGAAATCCAGATGAGATGAAGCTCTGAAGCTACTTGCAGGAAGTAGCTCCTTCCTGTTGATGGACCAGGTCCTCTTCTCCTTCCTGGAACAGCACAGGAAGGAGGAGGTGTGCCCCTGACCTGACCCCATAGAGAGACAGGGCCAGGATCCTCCTTCTCCTGTGTTTGGCCTTTGTCTGCACAGGCTTGGCAAAGCGCTATCCTGGGCAGAGCTGCTGACCTTGGGCAGCTTTCTTCAGAGATTCCTAGATGACCTCAGCCTTGAAGACCCCATTAACAGGGAGGTCACCGTTTCTACAGGCCTCTCAGGCTAGGGTGCTACTGGGAATCTTTATATTGGGCTAACCCAATTGTAGCCCGTTGTCAGCCTATAGAACCAACTAAAGCCTGCTTGGACAGATGAGACCCATCACGAGAAGTCTGCTGAGAAATTTTCCCGTGTTTGCTCATATGAACAGTTCCCCAGGTATCCTGCCAGTTGTCTGGCAGAGAGAGGCAGCTTTCTAGTAGGAGGCAGACAGGTAGAGGCCTGGAGCTCGCAGGTCTGGAATTCCAGTCACTACATGGCACATGGGAGAAGATTGGTTTGGTTGGAAAGTAACTGGCCCTTGCCTCAGATAAACTCTTTTCTCAGCACTTTGGGATGCCCCTGATAGTTAGAGCCTTACAGGCCCATGTTGCTATGGACCTGGGTTCTGGAGAAAAAGGGCTTAATATGTCTTCTAGGAAAACCTGTATGGTGTTGGGGAGGTTGGTTGCTTAGCAGACATCATGGGCCTTGGGAGCTCATAGTTTCAAGGGAACAGGTCATAGTCATAGATGTGGGTAAAGGACATGGGGAGAAGGTCACAGGTGTAGATGACTCATTTGGAAAGATGTTACAGGAGCTTGGAAGTGACTTCTAAGACCACATTTTTGGTGGGTGGCCAAGTGGGACTGAACCTAGACCACTCCTTGCCTGTCCACTTGGGCCCTGGGTAGGGAAGATGTGAGAGGGTCTTGGGAGAGTTGGAGTCTCACTTTCTGCCTCTGCAGGTACTATGAGAGCTTCACTAACTGCACCGAGGTGGAGACCAACATTGTGGGCTGTTACTGGCCCAACCCGCTGGCCCAGAGCTTCATCACTGGCATCCACAGGCAGTTCTTTTCCAACTGCACTGTGGACAGGGCCCACTGGGAAGATCCCCCGGATGAAGTGCTCATTCCACTCATTGCAGTGCCTGTCTTGCTGACCGTGGCCATGGCTGGCCTGGTGGTGTGGCGCAGCAAACGCACTGATCAGCTGCTGTGAGGGCTTGCCAGATGGAAGGCCATGCCTGGCAAGCTGGAAGAAAGTTCCTCAAGGCTGCAAGAGCTAGTGGGTACCACCTTGGGTCTGCTGTGGCCACATCCCACCAAGCCATGGCAGAGTCCCCCCTGCCCAGGCTGATGTAGCCCCTACTCCCTGGCCTGCTGCCTGGCTGGGCCTTGGGCTGCCCATACAAGTGATTCACTCTTCCTTGGGCTATCAGAAGAGCGTGACAAGACTCAAGCTTGCATGCCAGGCAGTGGAAATGTGAACCCTGCACTCCCTAGGCTGGGTTCTCTGGTCTCTAGCCATTTCTTAGCAGAGTCTTATCCAGCTTCAAACCAAGCCCCAGGCCCTGATCCATCTCTAGCTCTGACCCTGACCCCTGCCATACCCAGGCACAGAGGGCAGCCAAGGTCTTCTGGAAGATATGGAACTCTGAGCCCTTCTGCTGGAGAGACCAAGTAGATCCACTGTTGGACATGGACAGCTTGGGGACTGGGGAATGAAGGGCAGACCAGGATCATCAGGAGCCACATGTAGACCTGTAGATCTGCCTGTCTTCTGTCTGTTCCACCATGATTCTGTAACCAATGTGGGATGGATCTGGGGGCTTAGCCCTTCATAGGGACCTACCCTGCAGGTAGGTGTGGGCTTTCTCCTTAAGATAGCTCCCTGGGGGCAAGGCACTCTCTGGGTGGAGTCTGTGTGCTCAAGTGCTCTGTCTGCTGCTGTCTGTCCTTTCTCTGAGTAAAGTCTCCCAACACCTAGTATTTCTTGTTTTATTTCAAGGTATTCAGAGGGGGAGTCGGTGGGTCTCTCAGGACTCCTGATTCTCCTATATTCATTTCACATGTACTCTGGTATTCAAAGCAGCACCCTAGAGGACTATGGCCCAACAGAAGAGGGCCTTACCATTCCACCTGAGCCCTATTTTCTCCTCTCTTTCCTCCTCTTTCTGGTTTTGCCAGGACCCCTGCCTATGGTGTTTTGGGGGAAGGCAGGCCCTGGCCAGATATGGCCAGACAGAAGCTGGTCCTGAGTCTTGGACAGTAGGTGGTGCTGCAGTGTCTCCAGGCCTCACCTGTGTTCCAGCTAGAGGACTTTCATCATTGGATATAGGCTGCTGACCCCAGTATACTCTGAGTAGAAAGGGGGCTGGAAGACCTGGAAGTTCCTGTGTCTTGGAGACCCTGCTCCCTTTCCATGTCCAGGTCCTGACCCTGAAGACTTCTTGATGGATACCATGGAATTGTAGGTCTGGGTACATGACGGAGCCTGTGTCATGGGGCCAGCATGGGGCAAGAACTAGGGACATTCCATGTTTTTGAAGAAGACCAGGGTGTGGAGGATCAGCATCTGAATGTGAACCAGCTGGGTTGCTCCTGGCATACTCCATGCCACCTGAGTGGCATCTCTGAGATAAGGTACCATCTACCGGATGGAGCAACCTTGTGGAGCTCTGTGTGGTCAGATGTCCACAGGTGTCATACTATCTGGTTCATACACAGTTGGTGAGGGCATAGCCCTACCCCTCCGTCTGCCTTGCTCCACCTCTTTGAGCACCCCTGGGGTGTAATTTGAAGTGTGCTGAAGGAACCCCATGCCTCTCCTCTGGGGGACATGCCTGCAGCCACCTAGGTTCCATGGACCCAGGTTCTTCCCAGGTGTGATTCTGGAACCACTTTCCTTGGCATCCCCCTAAGCTTTTGGGCATTGTCACCTGTTCTCACATCCCCTTTTCTCCAGTAACACTGAGGCTTCCTTTCTTGGAGCTGAGTGGTCAGACTTCCTACCTGAGAAGGGAAGGAGAAGAGGAATAAGTAGAGGTTAGTGCCTTTGGCAGAGAATCCTGAAGGCCCCTGGACCACAGCTCACCAGGGCATGCCTCAGGGTGCTGCCTGGTTGAGGCAAGGTGCAGCAGTGGTGAGGAGCTGGACAGGGCCCTCTGGCCTGCTCTTTACCCTGGGGCTCTGCTGCAGACTCCTGACCGCTTCATTTCCATGGAGTTCATGTTGGGAATGGGATCCCAGAGGCAGGTGTGTGTACCTGAATTAGGAGTCTATTCCAGTGGGATAAAGAGTCTGTTCCCAGTAAAGGGAGGAGACCCCAGAGAGCCCAGTGGTCTTTTGGATTAATGAAGTGGGGGGAGGAAAGGGCAGAATGCTGAGAGGGGCCTGTGAGTGCTGAGGCAGGTAGACAGGATACTCAGTGTCACACCTAGGTGTGGCACACAAGAGGCTGTCAGTTAGGATCGGGGGGATGAGGAAGCAGCAAGGACATAGTGAGAGACCCTGTTTGTATGGGGTCAAGCTGCTGCTCAGCAGTCTGGATGTCTTTGTTGCATTTACTTCTATGGAAGATGTGCATGGGTGCGTGTGTGTGTGTGTGTGTGCGTGTGTGTGTGTGTGTGTGTGTGTGTGTGTGTGTGTGTGTGTGTGTGTAAGGAATGGGGAAGAGGGAGCAGGGATCCAGCGAGGGCCATTTGTATGCAGAGTTTCTGGGGTAGGTATTGCTAGGGTTCCATTCCCAGAAGAGAGGAAGTGACTTACTTTCATTTAAACAGACATTGCTCATGCGGAGTGTTTCGGAGACCTTTTAGAGTTTCCTGTAATGTAACTATAAAATCTGGTAAGAGCTACAAGCTCCCCTCAGTAGGCACAGGATGGTAGGTGTGACTGTACTGCATGCGCAGGTCTAGGAGCCAGCTGGGGCCCAAGCTGCCAAGGCTCACAGGTAGAAGGGGAAATAAGTGTTCGCTCAATATTGATTCTTGAGAAGTTAATTACACAGAATCAGACCTGCATCTGCTCCTGTGACTTATTTGTCCTCCCTGTTTTCACCTATTCATGTGTTTTCCGAGGTTAATAGAGTTCAGAGTACCAGAGTCACATAGGGAATGTACATGTGTGAGTATATGGGTCTGTGGGTCAGGAATAGGGATAGTAGAGCACATTCTGGAAGCTTCCTTGTTTAAAAAAGTCTCTTACACTTGACTAAATTTTGCTGTGGTTGGAGTATTTTCAATCACTTTATTTAGCCAAGGCTTTTGCATTGCCGAATTGAGAGTCATAGGTGAACACAGACACATAGAAGGCGCATATCAACTCCCAGGTCCCTTTTTACTTATTGGGAAGGCAGATATGCCAGCCCACTGTAGCATGCACAGTGAGAGAAGCAGAGAAAGGTGGGTCCTATCTGGGACTTTTGGGAAACTTCATTCAGGAGGATTTGGAAGAAGAGAGTTTATAAGGGTGAGTAGAGATTGTCCATTGCAGAACAAGACCATGAGCCACAGCCCAGAGACTTGCAAGAAAGTGGGCTGCACAATGGATGTGGAGAGTGGGAGTGTGACTCAGGATAGGGCTTGGGGAATGGAGAAGGAGTGGCTTGAGGACGAAGTCTCTACAAATGCATGTTGTTTAGGCCACTGATGGCCAGCCTCTTCTGTGAGGCTGCTGTGTCTCTTACCCCACTCTAGTTCCCTTTTGATTCCAGAACCAGTTTACACCAGGCACTGTGAAGGCTCTGGGAGAGGGTGGGGGAGGCCAGAGCAGCTTTCTTGGCAGGAGAATGGGAGAGATGTGTCCATGTGAAAGTGCAGCCTGAGACAGGACCTCCGAAGAGGAGCTACTGTAGATTGGAGAGTGCTGCCTGTGGAAGGTGAGCTGCTAGCCAGGCTGTCCCTGGGGCAAAATGTCCGAGAAAACCAGCTTAGAGGAAGGAATGTTTTGGCTCCCAGTTTCAGTTCATGATGGCAGAGAAGGCTGCTCACTATGACAGCAGGATGCAGAGAGACAGAGAAGGGGGCCCCTCAACAAGATATGCCCTTCTAGGTCACACCCTCAGTGACCCATTTCCTCCAGCTAAACCTACCTCTTAATAGCCCATTCAGTTATAAGCCTATCAGTGGACTGATTCACAACGTGGTTAGTACCCTCATGATTCAACAGTATCACCAGCCATGGGCCAGACCATCAACACATGAGCCTTTGGGGACATTTTATATCTACTCTTCACCTTGGCCTGGATGTCCTTGGAGGAGGAGCCATGAGTCCTATGGCTGAAGCCACTATGGTGGCAGCTGCTGACCTCTCTCAGGGACTGGCTTATGAAGGGGACTGGAACCTTCAGTCCTGAAATTACTTCACATACTGTCTGCAAGCTGGAGCTCACCTGAGGAGGGGCTTCCTGGGGGCTGTAGAAGCCATTTGGCTAGAGCTGGTCCTGCAGAACAGACAGGTCTTAGTCTGTGCCAGGCACTGGTGGCACCTGGGGCCTTTGTGGGGGACAATAGGCAGCACGGGGCCAAGTGACTGCAATGTGAATATGGCTGTGAGGACTCAGGCTTCTACATGAAGAGTGATTGTGTGGAATCAAGGAAATGACCTGTCCCTGATTCCAGACTACACACTGAGACCCAGTTCGAGGCTACCGTGTGTGACACTCCTCTGTATGACATTCTTGCTTATCACAAGGAGGCATTAACTGATTAAACAAATTTTAAATTTTCAACTGATGAATTGGTGAGATTCTATGCAATCTTACTATCCAGCCCAGTGGGTAGCAGGGTATATAAGAATTAAAAACTCAGGGGCTGGAGAGTTAGCTCAGCAATCAAGAGCACTGATTGCTCTTGCAGAGGACCTGGGTTTGGTTGTCAGCACTCACGTGATGGCTAGAAACCATCTATAACTCCAGTTCCAGGGACCCAACACCCTCTTTTGACCTCCATGTGGTCATTGTACACATGTGGTACAGTTCCATACCTGTAGGTAAAACACTCATAAATTTTAAAAAATTTAAAAAAATTAAAAATGCAGAATATAAAACAGCAGAGGATCCATTTCCAAACTGATGTGAAAAACTTTGTAGACCAAACAACTGTACCAGATGCTAATAATAAAAATACATACACAAATAAGTGAAACCACTTAAAATCTCTTGAAATTATCTTGACAGTACTGTAAACAAGGAAACATTTATTAAAGAAAATGTGCTAGATATGCATCAGGACAGAGAATCTGCAGCATCTGAGATATAGCTGCCCTAGCAAGGCTCCCCACCAGCTCCCAATCATACATGGTGTCATTCACAATGTGTGGGTCCCCAGTGAGGCTCACCCTGACTCCCAGCTCTGTGTTGCAGATGCTAAAGTGCTGCAGGAGTGAGGTGTCAGCTGTTGGGAGGTCCTGGAGAAAGAAGTGCACCTTGTCCCCACCTTTTGCCACATGCTTGTCCCCTTTGATGCCCAGCCTAGGACAGTTGGTCTTGACTATAAAGGCTTGGTCAAAGGATAAGCTGTTACTTCCCTGGATGCTTGAAGAGGTTCCAGCAAGAGCAAATGCTGAGGTGTATAGCAGGGATGGGCTGGAGGTTGGGGGGCTGGAGCTGCCTGGAGGGTACAGAGGAGTGAGGTGGCTGATCAGAGATCCCTGCTCAGACAGCTTGTAGAAGTCAGTGAGCAACCCTAGAAAGGTGTTCAGGGTACAGGATGCATGAGGGGCTCACACGGGCAGAGGTAAAGGATCTGGAGGGATTTGGAAGAATATCTCTACCTCTCCCCACAGGTGGGGTGGAAGGACAGGTGACATCTTTTCTAACACCAGATTCCTCCCGGGACATATGTGAGTGCCCTGGTAAGAAAGGCAGACAGTCATTGGAGAAAGAAGGTCCCTTTCCTTCCAGCACAGCTTAATAATCTCTGGCCACTGCCCCTCCCATGGAGACATTTCTGGTTTCTTATGTCCACCAGCAGGCACTGGGAGATA